AAAGTGGCAGACAATAAAAATGCAAATAAAATTGTATCAGAAGAGATGGTTTGAGGTTATCAAAGCAAATGATGGGTGGACAGGTTCTGGAAGGTGAAGACCTGGGCTTTGAGGGCAAGGAGGGGTCCAGGGTATCCCAAAAAGGGGCACGGGAAGGGGGGGACCGAAAGCGCAGGGCGGGAGTGTGGTTCAGGGTGAGGGTGTCTGGTGTCACAGGGGGGCAGGACAGAGCTGGGGGAGCAGTGGTGACAGTTGGAGGCTGGGGGTGGCTCCTGCCTGGGTAGTGGGAGATGTGAATGTGACCCTTCTGGGGGCTGTGGAGTTGGGGCTCCAGGAGAGGGGACTGTGGGCAGAGATGTGAACCCTGGACTCCAACCCCATAACCCTGTTCACTGCAGCTGGCCCAGCCGCAAGGTTAAGAGGGCTCATCTCAGGGTCAGGGCTCAGCCTGGGGGAGTTGGGGGTCAGCTTGCAATTGAGGGCTCGGGACTGGGTTAGGGTTGAGCCTGGGGTGAGAGTTCAGCCCAGGGTCAAGATTCAGCCTGGGGGAATTGGGGCTCAGCTTGGAACTGGGGGCTCAGGCAGGGGCCTGGGGGCTCTGTCTTCTTTAGTAACAGACCCTGACACACCTCCCCTGGTGCTCCAGGCTGGAGGGGTGGATGGAGAGTCCTGTCAATCACTGGCCTGGCTGCTCCTGCCCTCACCTCTGCTGTGACCTGGGGACAGATGACTGGAGCGCCCAGGATTACAGCGCCTCAGGCCTTGCCATGCAGGTGGAAGTGTGATTCCTGCAGGTGGGCAGTTCTGTCCTCACCCCTGCCTGGCACACTGGCGCCTCACTCTGACTGTGGTTCCAGGAACCGAGGGCGCCCTGCACCTCCCCAACTGGGCACAGGGCAGCTGCAGCCATACGGAAGTAGGATAATCAACAACTCTTTTCACAACAGAGCCATTCTGCTTGCATGCTTGACGGGGAGCTCATTCCTTCTAGAGACAATAACAGTGAGCACTTCCTCTCAGTGGAGCTAACACAGCCCCATTTTACAGAGGAGAGAAACTGAGGCTGAAAGAGAGACTGTCCCTGGCCCCCAGAACTCAGTTATTAAGACAAGGCCAGGCTCCCCACCAAATGCAACTGGTGACACAGCCAGAACATTCTGGTCACAGATGGAGAGCGACAGAACCCTCTGTCCCCTCACTAAAGACCTATTCTGGGGCTTGATCCTTGAAAGACTGTTTCCTCATGGGAGACGCAGTATTAAGCATGCCTCATTGCCACATTTCAATGTTGTTGTTGTTATGTGCCGTCGAGTCACTTGCAACTCATTGCAACACTATGTACAAGAGCCCTAAACGCTGCTCTACCCGGTACCAACCTCACCATCTCCAATACACTCACTCCTACCACCCCAATCACAGAATCGATCCATCTCATCAAGGGTCTTCCTCTCCTGTGACGCCCCTCCACTCTCCCAAACATTATGTCCCTCTCCAAGGACTAGTCCCTCCATGCAACATGCCCAAAGTATGTCAGACGAAGCTTCAGAATCCTTGACTCCGAAGAGCATTCTGGCTTCACCGTCTCCAGGACAAAACTATGTTCTCCTAGTAGTCCATGGTATAGTCAACACTCTTCTCCAGCACCACAGCTCAAAGGTATCAATGCTCTTTCTAATATCCCTGGTCACTGTCCAACTCTCTGATACATAGCACCTAATTGCGAAGACTACAGCCCGGATCAGGCGCACCTTAGACTCCAGCCTGATGTTCTTGCTCTTCAGTACTCTTGAAAGGTCCCTCATAGCTGACTTTCCCAATACCCTTGGCATTAAGTTTTACAAATTGCAAGTTTGTGGCAACAGATAAATGAGTCTGCTGGTGCCACTTTTCCAAAAACATATGCACACTTCCTGTGTCTGTATCACATTTGGTTAATCCTCACATTACTTCAAAATAAGGTCCCAGGAATCGCTGGAACGCCAATTGCCCTGGGTGTGCTTATCAGTTTATGCCAGGAAATATGGAGGACAGCTGCCGGGCCAACTGACTGGAAGAGATCCACATTTGTTCCCATTCCCAATAAATGATCCAACAGAATATGGATGATTGAACAATCATATCACATGAAAGTAAAATATTGGTGAAGATTACTGAAAAAAATGACAGAGAACTGTGAGAAATTCAAGCTGGGTTTAGAAGAGGCTGTGGCACCAGGACTGTGGATCAGATAGAACTTGGTAGAAAGCAAGAATACTGGACAATGTTTATTTGTGCACTAATGACTATATGAAGACACTTGACTGTGTCCATCATAACAAATTGTGGCTAAGACTGAGAAGAATGTGAATCCCAGAATAATTCTTTTTGCTCATGTGAAACCTATAACTAGATCAAGAGGCTGTTGTGTGAACAGAGCAAGGGAACACCGTATGATTTATAAAATAAAGGTGTACACCAGAGCTGTATACTTTCTTCATATCTGTTCAATCTGCATGCTGAGAAAATAATATGAGAAGTTGGATTTCATGAAGAAGAATGTAGCCTCAAGATCATAGGAAGACTCACGAATAACTTGTTATGCAGATGACGCAACTCTGCTTGCTGAGAGTGAGAAGGACTTTAAACACTTCAGTATGGGTTGCATATTAAAGTCAAGAAAACAAAAATTCTCACCACTGAACCAACAGGCAACGTCATAATAGATGAAGAAAAGACTGAAGTTGTCAATGATTGCATCTCACTTGAATCTACAATCACCACCCAGGGGAACAACAGTCAGGAGATCAGGAGACATATTGCATTTGGAAACTGTGTTGTCAGGGACCTCTTCAAAGTCCTGAAGAGCAATGATGTCAGTTTAAAGACTAAGGGACGCCTGCGTCAAGCCACAGTCTTTCCTAACACCTGCTGTGAATCTGAAAGTTGATGGCAGAAGAAGCATTGAGCCTTTGAGCTGTGGTGTTGGAGAAGAGCACTGAATATCCCATGGA